TGATCCACATTTTCTTCCCTCAATTAATTTTGCAACACAAGACACAGGATGTCTAATCATCTATTCCCTTCAAACAGTCTACCCCATTTCCCATTCCAGTGCAGTGTTCAGCTTTTTGAGGAAATGCTAAATGGCCTTTAAGAGTGGTTGTACCATTTTACAGGACCACTAGTAGTGCATGAGAGTTCCAATCTCTCAGCGTCCTCTCCAACCTTTACTGATTGCTGTCCTGTTAAACTTTGCTACTGCTCCTGAGTGAGATGATATCTCATTGTGATTTTTTGTTTTTGAATTTTATTAATTTTAATGAACATTTACAGAGCTTTTGGATTTTCATTCATTCATTATTGCACTTTTTTCTTTACCCCTCCTCCCCCCAGATTGCTCTTCTCTTTGAAAAGCAAAAGATAAACTTCTTCCTTGGTATACAATCCCCACCCCCCACACCTGCCTCAGATGCACTCCACTATGCCACCTTAATTCTGGATTCCTGTGATAATCATAACATGCTCATTGTCATTTTTATTTACATCTGATTGTCAGTGATTTTGAATATTTCTTCATTGGTCTGTTTATTCACACGAATATCTTCCTTTGTGAAGTCTTTTTTATGTCTTTCACTCATTTTGGCATTGGTTTATCAGTCTTTTTTTTTTTTTTGTGGAGGCCTTGTTGTTAGTTTCTGTTGTTCAATGCCATTGAGTTAAATAGGACTCATAGAAACTCTATGAATAACAGAGCAGAGTCCTGTCCTATCCTGTGCCATCCTCACAATCTCTGACATACTTGAGCACATTGCTGCAGTCACTGTGTCACTCAAGGTCTTTCTTTCTTTTCCTGATTCTCCACGTTTCCAAGGAATAGCCTTTCTCAGAAACATGCTCAACATGTGTGAGACAAAGCTTTGATATTTTTGCCTCCTAGGAGCAGTCTTGCTGCACATTCTCCCATATCTGTTTTGTTGGCAGTCCATGGAATATTCAGTACTTATCTTCAACACAAAAGCTCAAAGGCATCAATTCTTTTGTCATCCTTATTCATTGTCCTGATTTCAGATGCAGCCTGAATTTCCTCCTTCATTACCATTGCCTCTTGCTCATACGCTCTTTCTTGAAATTCTTCTATGTCAGCTAATTCTTTTTGGTACAGTGACTCTGGATCATGCTTCCTGGATCATTCTGTATTCTGCCTATAACATCCATAAGTATTGCAACTGGAGTCTTGAGTTTATTTTTTAGTTCCTTCAACTTATGAAATGCTGGGAAAATTCAGTCCTTTTGATTTTGGTCTCTAGTTCTTTGCACATTTCCTTTGCCTTGTCTTCCCATGCTGCCCTTTGCAATCTTTTATTCAGCTCCTTAACTTGATTTCTTCTCTTTGCTTTGGCTTCTCTGCACTCTAGTGCAGTATTTAGATTCTGACATTTATTTTGGTCATTTTGTCATCTTCTATAATGACTTTTTGCATTTTTTTTGTGGATGATATTCTTGATATCCTCCCACAGCTCATTTGGTCTTTTTTCATTAGTGCTCAAGGCCTCAAACCTTTTCCTGAGTTTGTTTTTTGAATTTAGAAGAGACAGATTTAAGGTAAAATTTTGACTCCTGTGGTTTTGATTTGGCCTTCTTTAGTTTTAATTTGAACTTGTATATGAGTAGTTGATTGTCCATTCTGCAATCAGCACCTGGCCTAGTTTTCACTGCTGATATTGAACTTTTCCAGTGACTCCTTCCACAGATATAATCAGTCTGATACCTGTGTATACCAATAGCCTGCATTTGTATAGCCTGATCGATCAGGCAGAATTCTGTCATTATATCTCCAGACTCATTTCTGTCACTAAGTCTATGTTTTATGACTACTGATCTTTCCTCCTGCTTCCCAACTTTGTCATTCCAGTCACCCATTATTATTAATGCATCTTGGTTGCTTGTTCAAATGATTTTTTGACTGCAGACATTAGTAGAAATCTGTGTTCTTCTTTTTGGCTCTAGATGTTGGTGCGTAAATTTGAATGATGGTAGTATTAACAGGGTTTCTTTGTATGTGTGTGGATATTATCCTGTAACTCATAATTTTGCATTTAAAGATGGATCTGGAAACAGCCTTTTTAATTATAGTAGTAACCCCATTTTTCTGCACCAGCGTAGTATATCATGCGATTGTCTAATTCAAAATATCTCATGCCAATCAATATCGTTTAACCAATACCTACTATATCAATATTTATATATTCTATTTCTTGACAATGTCTAGTTTTCCTACATTCATGGTTCTCACTTTCCACATTCCAATCATTACTTTGTGCTTACAACTGTTCCTCCTCCTCTGTGTTTCCAAATTTGAGGGCTCAGCCTTAGTTGCCATATTTGTTATTTTGCTCTATGTGTGCTCTCTTGTACATAGATATATTTTGGAAATGGATGGCCAATCCTTCTTGTTAGTCTTTCTTAATTTGGACACTTAGCTTTGGAACAACATCTGACAGACAAGCATTTTAGTGAAAGGAGCAAATAAATGGAAGATATTTCCCCTTACAGAGAAACCATACATGCAGTGCCCTATCCCTGCATGCATGTCTTGTCCCTTCCCTTTCTTGCTATATCAACAGTGCTTACACTCCTTCCTACCTCATGCAACACCTCCCTTCCCCACAGCAACCCCTTGATGTGATGGCCTAGGCCATAAGTCACTACTATGATGTCTTACACCTCACAATGCTACTAATCTCTCATACTGATTTCTATCTCACATTTAGAAGGATTTAAGTCCCATGTATCAGCTTCAGAGAAGGATTTTTGTCTTAGTACTGGTCATATATGACCTTTATCAACTTCACAAATGGCATCTGTACCCATCAATAGCATCATTAACACAAAACCAAGTCCAGTGAGGTCTGACATTTCCCCCAAGTTCCCATGCTACTTTCTACTCATCTCAACACTAATCTTACTGCTTTAGTGGGTCCAAAATCCAATGCAATAGCTCACAGACATTTCAGAATCATGTTGGGGAGGTCAGAGGTTATAATGCAGATAAATAACAGAATACAGTCAAGATAGCTCCTGAAATGTTCATACAGGCACTGTAGGCTTGAAGTTCCTGCCTTCAGACCAGTGGTTCTCAAGTTCTCAATTTTGCCAATTGGCTTTCCTCCTTCTCTCTTCCCCCAGGTCACATCTTACCTCAAGTCTCCATTTTGTCCATGCTGCTCTTTTTATGGTGATGAAGTTTCTTTACTGGTTGTGCTAGGAGGTCTCTTTTCTCTTCACAGGTGTGGGAAGATCTCTCTTTGGGTGGACCTGTTCAATTTATTGGAGAGACCAGACAATCCCCTTGTAGATTGTTGAGACTGGTTAATCTTCTTGTGATATGATAGATAGTTAATTCCCTTGTGGATAGGCTAACACAAACACACACACACATGCACATACACCCCATTTTCATATCCCAACCCATCTATATAGGAAAGTCAAATAGGTAGAAAAGTCATATTGAAAAATAAACTCCATAGCTTCTTACTCATTTTTAGTTTTCAGAAGATCTTTGAACCTTTGGGCTCTCTTTCCTTTTCAGATAAAATGACAAATTGCATTTTCTATCTCTGAAGAATGAGTTTGGTTTCACTATTGATATTGTGTTGAATATGTAGATTGCTTCTGGTAGGATTGCCATTTTCACAAAGTTGAGTCTTCCTATCCTGAGCAGGGAACATTTTCCCATTTAGTTAGGTCTCATATTTTTTTGTAGTTTTCCTTAGAATTGTGTTTTGTGTTTCTAGTTAGGTTATTCTCAAGTATTTCATTTTGTGCATCATTTTGTGAGTATATTTCTTATATTATGCTAAAATTATCAAGATTACAAATAATTAAAATTCTCAAGATTTTAAAAATAATTAATTTATATTAGTTGAGGTAGAATTTCTCATCTTCACTGATATGATACCTACTAGACAACCCCTACAATTTTTATTCCACCTAATGATATCTTTTTTGAGTAAGAACAAAGCAGCTACTTTCCTATTGAATACTTATTTAAGTTTTCTAAATTTGTCTTTTTCTTATTTTGTTTCCCAAAGGTATAAGCGGTTTGGCATGATTTTGAACAACATTGGAGAAAATGAAGGTGGTATTGACAGATTTTCTAAAGGCTATGAATCATTTGGTGTTCACACATGTGCTGATGGTGGTCTGTACTGCAAAGAATGGGCCCCTGGAGCAGAAGGTGTTTTTCTTACTGGAGACTTCAGTAAGTATTCCGATAGTATTGATGTTAGTGGTAATATTTTATTTATGCAATTTGAATTGAAGTAGCAGTTAAAAAGGTTACATGTTGGGCTACCACCTGAAATGTTGTCAGTTTGAACCCACTCCTCAAACAAGGGGAGCACCCTGCTCTCATTTGGATTTACAGTCTTGCAAATGAGATTTTCATGAGTTGGGATAAACTAGCAGCCATGAGTTTGTCTGTTAGTCTGGCTTTTATTTCATCTATTTTCATGGATTCTGCTTAATAAAGATGACTGCTTGCAAATAAAGATAAAATTTTCTGATTAAGCGAAATAGATTATGAAATTATTGTCTATATTATGTACAAATGTTCTTATTATTTTGTGATACATATGTTCCTGAAAAACTTTGTCCTGCAAAATTATATACCAAAAAAGTTTTTTATTAAAAATATTAATATATCTTACTCTAAATTTTTCTAATTAATTAAAAAGTCAACCTCTGAGGGAAAAAAAGTAATCTTAATAAAAATAATGTTGGGCATCTTTATATGTATACACTCACTGGCACTTGATTGGTTAAAATGAAATTCTAGTTTCTGGATTACAGTGCATCTTCATACCACTAGGCCACAAGAGTGCCATTAAAATTCTATTTTCTGATTTCTATATATCTATAAATTGTTTTTAAAATCTTTGATAAAGTTAGAAATAGAATCCAGAGGATAACCGTCTTTGTCACACACTATTTTTTGTTTTAAAACCAAATATGGGACAGGCCCTCTCTGCTTTGCCTTATGCATGCTTGCCTTCACTGGACAATTAATGATGCAGACAACATAACTGTCACAAAAAGTCATGGTTTTTGCTTTGCAATCTGGTGAAAGTAAGAGTTTGTATATAAAGAACTAATATAATATGCTCAATTTTATCCTTCTGTTGTTGTTGGTATGTCCTGTCGAGTTGCTTGCAACTCATAGCAACCCTATGTAGCATAGCCTTGAATCCTGCAATATCCTTATTGTCTCTGACACACATACCTTCATTTCCCCAGTCACTGAATCAATCCATCTCTTGGAGGGTCTTCCTTTGTTGTGCCATCCCTCCACTCTTCCAAGCATGAAGACCCTCTACAAGGACTGGTCCCTCCATGCAACATGCCCAAAGTATGTCAGATGAGGCCCCAGAATCTTGTTTCCAAGAAGAAGCCTAGATTTTACCTTAGAGGTCTAAATAAATTACTACAGTAGGAACAAAGAAGAAAACTCAATTTTAAAAGTAGAATATCTTTTTTTTAATTAATTTCAATGAACATTTACAAAGATTTTGAATTTCCATTCATTAATTGCTGCACTTTTCTCCCTGCCTTCCCTACCCGCACTCCCAGTTCACTTTTCTCCTTGAAAAGCAAAAGAAAAACTCCTTCATTGGTATACAATGCCCCCATACTCCCCCACCCCCATCCCGAGTATACTCCTCTCTGCAACCCTCATTCCGAACTCTTATGATAATCATAATGCCCTAAAATATATTGTTTTTAAACTGTTCTCTCCCTCATTGGCTTCAATGCAGTATACATAATTTATCCAGTTTTTCTCAGTCTTACCCCCACCCTGATATCAGCCTCATTCTACAACAGTGTCACCATGCAGTATTTATCCTTTTGTAACTGAGGTATTTCACTCAGCATAATGTCCTCCAGGATCACCCATTTTGAATAATATTTCATGAATTCCTTGTTTTTCAATGCAGCATAGTATTCCATAGTGTGAATATACCACTGCTTCTATATCCATTTATTTGTTGATGGGCACTTAGGTTTTTTCCAGCTCCTTGCTATTGTGAACAAAGCCGTGGTAAACATGGGTGCTCATATATCTGCTTGGATGTCAGTTATGGTGTCTTTGGGGTATATTCACAGTATGGGAATTGCTGCATAAAATGGTATCTCTATTTGCATCTTTTTGAGAAAGCGCCACACTGCTTTCCACAGTAGCTGCACCATTTTACATCTCCATCAACAGTGAGTAAGTATTCCAGTCTCTCCACAACCTCGCCAGCATTTGTTGCTTGCTTTTCTGTTAAATTTTGCTAGTCTTACTGGGGTGAGGCGATATCTTATACTTGTCTTGATTTGCATCTCTCTTAGAGCTGGGGATTTTGAACATTTCTTCATGTGCCTGTTGGCCATCTGAGTATCTTCTTTGGTGAAGTGTCTGTTCATATCCTGTGCCCATTTTTCTATTGGATATTTACCTTTATCTTGTTGTGGTGCTCATGTATTTTATAAATTCTAAATATAAGTCCCTTATCTGACATGCCATTCATTATCAAACACTTTTTCCCAGTCTGTGGCTTCCCTTTTTACCCTGCTAGAGAAGTTTTTGGATGTGCATAGGGATTTGATTCTTAGAAGGTCTCATTCATCTATTTTATCTTCTCCTGGTTGTAGATTTTTCAGATTTCTTGGAAGACTGTTTATGTTGTGAATTAGGACTATTAAAGTTCTTCCAAGCTTTTCTTGAATGAAGTTTATAGTCCTTGGTTTTAGTTCTATGTCCATGGTTCACCTTGAGTTGGTTTTTGTGTATGAAGTGAGGTGTGGATCTTGCTTAAGTCTTCTGCATATTGTTTCCCAATTTTGCCAACACCATTTGTTATAAAGGCTGTCGTTTCCCCACTTAAATGATTTCATCTCCTTGTCAAAAATCAGCTGACTGTAAATGGATGGGCTGATTTCCGGGTTCTCAATTTTATTCCACTGATCTATGTGTCTGTCATTGTACCAGTACCATGCTGTCTTAACTACCATGGCAGTGTAGTAGGACTTTAAATCAGGGAGTGAGATGCCTCCTACCTTTTTTCTATTTTTAAGGAGTGCTTTGCTTATTCAGGGCTTATTTCCAAAAAGTAGAATATCTTTTAAAACAAGGTCTTGATGATACAATGATAAAAATTGGCATCAGAATAAAAATAGCTTTAGTCTAATAATATAACCTATTACTAATGCTAATATTAATTTTGTAGCTTGAGACAGTATTTTAAATTTATTTTACTTAAAAGGCTATTTACTATTGATTTTGTTTATATAAAATTTTGCAAAAGGCAAGAATATACAGATAGAAAACAGATCATTGTTGATGGAAGATGGAAGGTATAAATTGATTACTATGAACATGCAGAAACTTTTAGAAGATAAGAAGGTTTTGTGCCCTGACTTTTGTGATTATTTGACCACATGCATAAGATGAGTGAATATTGCTCCAAAGAGCAATATTCTTACTTATTGCTATTGTTTACCATCAAGTCTCAACCAGTCAAGGTGCTGACCCTCCAGCAAGTTTTCAGAGACAGTAAATTTCATGGGAGCAGATTGTCTATCTTCTTCCGTGGAACAGCTGGTAGATTCAGACCACATGTATTTGGGATTGCAGTGTAGTTTCTTACTAATAGGCTATCAGATTTCTCCATATCTACTTTATCTATCTATCTATCTAGTTGTTAGACTGTTCTGAACTTTGCCCTATCTTGAGCCCACTTTACTGTCTCCAACACACATGACCCCATTGCCATCAACACTACGTCAATTCATCTCATCCAGGGTCTTCCTGTCTTGTAACTGACCTTCTGCCTTTCCAAGCATGATGCCTTTTTCCAGGGACTGACACCCCTTGACAACATGTTCAAAGTATGTGAGCTGAACTTTGAATATCCTTGTCTCCAAGGAGCAACCTGGTTTCATGCTCTCTAGGACAAACTTGTTTATTCTCTTGGCACTCTGTGGTATGTTCAATACTCATCCCCAGCACCACAACTCAAAGTCTTCAATTCCTCTTCAGTAATCCTTATTCGTTGTGGTCTATATACCATAGCATGCAGTTGAGAGGACCATGACCTGTATCAGGTGCACCTTAGTATTTAGACTGACATAGTTTCTTTTAGCAATCTGGTGAGTTCCTTAGCAGCAAATTTTTCCAATACAGCTTGCCTTTTGATTTCCTGACTGACAGTTCCAATCTACCAGTAGCTCTTCACATTTCCTCCTGTAGACAATCTCCTCCTATGAAATTTATAGCCTCAGAAACCCAAAAGAGGGCCACCTGTGAGTTAGTTCTTATAATGGCAATACGTGACTCCAAGGGAGCTCTGCACTGCCAAAATGTTGTGAGTCCCTGGGGTTTGTCTCCAACAATAGCTCCTTGAGAGGAAGATCAACAATACACTCCCTTTTAGACTTACATCTTCAGGAACGTGAGAGAGGGCTGCTATTATTGGAGACTGACCTGATGGCCATGGATTGTATTTTATTTTAACTTCATTGTAAGGGATATAATGTGTGTGTACTAAATTACAATAAATTTTTAAAA